GCTGGGGTCAGAAGTGCGAACCTTTTACCCACGCTGCGCGATAAAATTCTGCCGAGAGCTCAACAGAACACTTCCCTTGATCTAAGTCCCATTCCGATACGCTGCGGACCATAAGCTTCGTTTTGCCAATAAGGAAACACTTGCATTTAGGCCGAAATCTAGCCCACTGTAACAGCCGAATACATTAACGATCGCCAGTGGTAACTTTACGTTTTTTTTTATTAAATACACACGTGTGTATTTAGTTTCGTGCTAATCCATGCACTAGCTACTAGTAATATATTAGGGTATTTTATTTGTACTATACTACATTTATATAATTCTGCTGTGCTACGCAATATAAGCAATCATTGCCCGTCTGTGGGCGCACACACGGCTGAGCGGCAGTAAATTCCGTGCCTGCTCTTCACGCTCACCTACATTAAGTTGCGAACATCATATGCAATTATCGTGCCCCACTCTTTACTTGGCAGTTGTCAAGTGCGCAAGCAGAAGTGGCAGCCTATGCGTTAGCGGGTGCAGTGATGTTGCTGTTTGCAGGAGCACGTGGTGCCTGGAGCTGGGACGACACGTCGCCCGCCACTACCACAACTCTCTCAGTGAATCACTACAGGCAGCGGGTGCAGGCACTGACGGCGCCAGACCTACCTAGACTTCTCACCGAGGCGTTACGAAGCGTGCGTGGTGGTGTGCGCGGCGTACGCTTGTAATGTGCTCGCGGAGTGTGCATTTTGTGCGCATATGTATGCAAAGCCGCATGTGTTTGTGCATGTATGCGTTGCACACCGCTGCTGCGTGTCCGTGTGCATGTGCGCGTACGTGTGTCTGCGCCGCGCGCTGTACCTTGACGTATGGCATCGTACTGTGTGCCGTTCTGTGCGTTGTTCATCCAGGCCTCACTTATACCGTCACTCAAATTCGCTATATATAAATTATTTTCTTCTCACTTAAGAATTATGATATTTTTTCACAGTATTTCACACAGTTCGAGTATTAAAGTTCTGCATGCTCGTTTCACACAGTGTCTTTTCACACAGCTCAGCTTTAAAGTTTCCGCCATCTTCACACCAGTTTCTCTTCATGGTTCAGTGTCAGAATCCCGCGGTCTTCCGCAGAGTCAGCTTCGAGGACCGCCACCGGCATTGGAACCGGGGAGAGCCTGTGCGAACTTCCTCTCTAACAAACTCGTTTTCTTCCTGCAGTCGTCAACGCCACTACGGCGCTCAGGCCGTTCTTCGTCCCATTTTCCCTTCGACGGCTGAGCCGCGCCTTAGCGATTTAACGTGCCACCAGTATCCAGCAGTGGCTCGTCGGCGTACACACCTCTGCATGCCTCGACGTCCCCCAACTCAACAGCTGCCCAGTTCCAGCAGATTGCTCCCGTACGTTTTTCTCCCACATAAAATTGGGCAAACGCATTTCAGAATCTCGCTCTACATCGAGGGTTCACTCAGATGCAACGGCATAGAAGCGCTTTCCGAAGAGGATGACGCGCTTTCACGTCAGCGAAATTGTGTGCTAAGTCCCGACTTCGGGTGGCCGGAGACGCCTGATTTCACCACACTCGTTACACGCCCCCAGCTGTTGTTATAAATTGCCTGCGTCGCTTATGAAGGTATCCAATCTCATTCCGTCGCCATTCGAGAGGTGAGACTCACCGAACCCGGCTATCAGCGCCGTCTTGCTCGGGCGGATGATGCGCATCGACCACGCCGACCTTCATTGCCGCTTGCGCGCGGGCGAGGATGTTCACATCGGTTTTTAACGCATCGCTGTGTTTTTCCAGCATTCTTCGAGGAGGGGCCGATCCTGCTCGCGGAGGCTGGCGTCGACACGAGCACGGCTCTCGCTATCTACATCTACGTGATCTGCTGACCTTGCCAAGGCGGAGGAAGACGTAAGTGTGCATAACTGTCAGTACGGCCCGTTCTCGCGGCAGTCCTGGAGTATACCTGCTTTATTACATCTGCACTGCTAATCATTTAATTTATACTGCACGAAATAAAACCAGTCGTAATGCATCATTATTTACATCTGGGTAATGTGCTTCGTATCTAATCTCTTCATGATGATAGAGGAAATTGCCCTCAACTTGGACAGATCGTTAGTGATTCGATGATGTTAAGAATACCTTGCCTAGATGCTTTTTTATTTTGTTTTCAGGTATTTGGCTAGATGAAATTATAGCAAACAAAAGCATAGCCCCAGCAAAGATGTAAAGACATCAATATCTTCATTTTACGTTTAGCTTACTACTCTAGAGTACCTAAAGGCTATAAGCCTCTTAGAATAGGACCTTCAGATTCTGTAATGTGGGTGCAAGAATATATGATGCCAGGTTAAAAATCACTCATTTACGGTTTCTTCCTCGCAGTCGGCACATTTTTCGCATTCGCCCACAGACAGCACTTGTAACAGACTGCACTTACGTGTGTTCGCACTCCAACGGTCGAGTGGCGTTGGCCGTAGTAACGCAGTGTTCTACTCCTTCTTCGCTGCGTTGCCAGGTGTTCCTTGACTATGTTTCAGATCTTGGTCGTTCCTCCGATCCGACGATGATTGGCCGTGATGCTCCGCAGCCCTTCCGAAATCCTGCCAGCCGCCAGCCGGTGATGCCGCGGACGCTCGAGCTTCTGGCCGTCTCCATGGCACAAGCATCGCACCACCATCAAGGTATTCTTTAACGCGATGTCGCCGCAATGGCAGATCCCTCTTGCGTGTGCAAACACCATGCGTACGTTTAACCCCCCTCTGCGCCGCACCCCAGCCTGCAGTGGTTTACTCCTCACATTCTCACTGCACACTCAAGCCGTGGGGTCAGACCCTTCGTAAAGTGCCGCGAAAATTTCCACTGAAAGTCGTGTGACTTTTTAAACAGGAATGTATTGTGGTAGGGGCAATGTTTTGTTACACTGTATACACTGTTTGTTGCAGGCATCGCCGCAAATTGCCTCCCTGACTTTAGAGCAGCCGGATTTTGTACGTTCTGTTGGGTTCTCGTAAATAACTTAACAAAAACTTAATTATCGGCCAAAAAGACGAAGCTCTATTGCCGTTTGAGCATGTGCGTAGGCGTACAGGGATAACTACACCTTATATTGCCCTTTGCATTCTTACTGGCACTGCACTCACGCTGCAGGGTGTTATGTTTTCAATAGACAAAAATGAATGCTCAGCTTGCGAAACCCATCTCTGAGTTGTCTTGTTACAATTTTCTTCGCGCACTGCGTTTTTTGCACTTGCAAGCGTTCACGTCTTACCATCTGCTAAGGCGCTGCCAGCTGCTAGCCGTTGCCGACGCGCGTTTGCGACATCCATCAGTTCCTGCGAGAATGGCTTTCTGCAGGTGAGCAGGGCGTCGCAGAAGCGGCGGGGCGCAAATCCTCAGAAGTCCTCCTTCAGGCGCCAGCAGCATCTACAGGTCTGAGGATGTGCCAGCGCGAAGATTTTCACATCATCGCGCCCCCTGCACCTTAATTTGTGGCAGTACACCGGGCTGTATCGACGGATAAGCTCTAGCATTACTTCATCGATTTCTACAATCAGTTGTTTTAATCGAGTTTCTTTAGCACACGTTTTTATATGAATTTCACCTTCATGTCTGGTAATACATTTCTGCCATTGTATATGTTGAATGGGCATCGTTGTTTTTGCCATGGTGTGTTGTGTGTGGTAATATGTATGTCATGTGTTTATAACTGTACAGTGGTCTTATTTCTGCTTTCGTGCTGACAGGTTCAGGCCAGCAGATTATATTTCAAAAAGCCTCCAAAATTGTGATCACAGATGAAAATATATGTAGAGTATGCATAGAAGAAACATTGGTAACAGGTACGCCAATTGCGAGACATTCGTGAACTTTGTAGCGTGTTTCCATGTATTCTTTGAGGTTTCTGTCGAGAATTTTCTCAAGTGCCTGTAAATTTAACTCTTAATTGATAACTGTCTATAAACCATGCAATTTAGTTTTTAATGTTTACAAAAATTTTCATATCCGTTCGTAAAAACGCCGGAATTAGTGTTATCCTAGGCTGCACTGATGATTTTATTCATTAATGCTGTTGGCTTTTGTTTTGCCTTTAGTTGCCTTTGCCGATATTCGAATGGTGCTGCGGTTCATTACTACTGCCTGCAAGGATGTCAAGAGTCTGTCAAGTAGAATTGCTGATGGCCTACGTTTAGTGTTGCAACCAAGCGCGTAAAACCCACCGGTCGGGCCATTCCACGCCGACTCTATTCTGCCTTACTACATAAATTAATAGACGAAGCTAGCTTTACCATCCAAATCGTTAAGGTGGCCTAATACCCTTTACAATCTTCGAGTGTCTGCTATTAGTTTTCAGTTCAAGTAAAAAATGTATTATTCTCCTTACATATTAATTTTTGCACGTATATAATAGCATTGCTCACCGTTGTAAATTAATTAACTATTCACAGACAAGCTCAGCTCTGTAGTGCCCGCCCAAAGAGAAAACCAATGGGAAGCAAAACCTAATTAGTGCTTACTTGTGGCATTCTCTGCTTGACAGCCAGCATATGCAACAGCGAGCTATAAACAAAAAACTTCCAAATTCCTTTGACTTGTTGCCTTAATTTTTTGTGGAGGATAATTGGGACTATGGCAAATTCATTTTTCCTATAATGAGTAGTGAACACACGAATTGGTATAGAGCATAAATTTCAAACCTATGTAGAATACTAATAGTGCCTGAAAGCTACCACTAATGTGTACTCTTTAATTATAAGCAAAACTTAATAAGAATTCTGCTTGTAACTATTACTCATAACATATTATACACAATAGACAATCACCTACGAAAACTTCACAGCTCAGCACAGTCACAATATGATTTCACAGTTTTGTGTTTCGTGTGGCCTAAATTTTTTCATAGCATGAAACATAATGACATAGTAAGCACAGAGTGTATTTAATCTCTGTTATGCCTAAAATGAAAGGAAGTGCTCCAGGCAGATTGATAATTTTTATTCGCTCAATAACTTCATGCTGATGTGCCACCCACTTGATAGCCCTTAGTGAGGTGGTGAAAGTGTATCTCTACTAGCGTGCGCATTTTTGCTATGTGAATAAATACATCACCTCATTCAGCGCATATTTAGATGGGAAACATAGACATTAGATGCTTCGCAATTATTGAGGGGCTAAACTTGCTAAATAGTTCTTTGCTTGCCATATCTAGATCATGCGTTGTTCAATGCGTTTGCGAGATCGACGTGTGTTAATTTCTTCGCATTGATGCGTTCGCCCGCGTTCTGCTGTGATAATACCGGATAGCGGTGATAATAGCTAGGATAATTGTCAAACGGGCATCGTGTCAGCTTCGCCGGTAGGACCTAATATGCCTCTAACTGTCGCGTGGCCATTCACCGCCTGGCCTCAATGCTTGTGTGTGTGCGGTCCCTTGCGCGCGCACGCTGCGTGTGTGTATCAAAGGATCAGGAGTAATAAGGGATAGGTAACGGAGTAATCGGAGGTATAAGCTGCGAAATCTTTAGCAACGATTGTACAGCCTCTCAGAGGCCCAGGAAAAGGTTGCCATTAGTGTTGGCCAGCTAGCCTGCAGCTATCCGCTGTCCTCCATTCATCCCCTTCATCGAGGCGAAAGAGCCTCGACGCCAGTTGCGCGAGCAGTGCCTCCGTGGAAACAGTTTTGCTTGGGGAACGGACGCCGCGTGCGCGCGTCTATACAATGCGATTTTTGTCGAGGCCGCGCGAAAAGTGCGCGATTTTGATTGCTACGTCTGATAGATTATGCTAAATACGTGATATCTGAAAGCGACTCAGCGTTTTGCCGGGGGGATGCCTTCTGGTGTGCCACGCTCGCTGGTCAGGCAACTATTACTATTACTATTACTATTACTATTACTACAGGCAAAGATCAGGGACCCGTTGTCAAAAACGAAATTAGTCTTAACATTAGTCTTAACATTGACTCCTAGACCGTTGCCAGAAACATCGTAAAGTCACGAGAGTACGAAAAATCCCAGCAAATCTCCTCTTGACATTACGAGATCGTAGCCCTCTCACAACTTGGAAATCAAGATGAAAATAATTGCCATAATAGTGATATGATATTTTATATTAATTAGTAAAACATGTATTTTCCATGGAATTCAGAAACACCACTTATCTACCGATCGTGTACCAAAAAATTGATGTGATGTACAATAAATGTGTATGAATTAGAGTTTGTGATTAACTCTCATCCAATCAGCAGCCGTGTGACAGCAAATTATGAAGTTCCTGTTGTCGTAAGTATTTTCATAGCTGCGATGCGTTTCTGTCAACGCTATTCTCGTAACATTAACATTAGTCGTAAGCGTTATCTTAGCATTCACATTAGCCTTATCTTTACGATGTTTCTGACAACGGGCTATAATAATGTCTTTGTTCACTCCTGATATAATATATACGGCGCATATATTTACGGCACATAACGTTAATAATTCTGCGTTGACAGTTACATGCCGCGGTGTAAATAACCTCATGAACAACGAGAAGAAAACATCAACATTAACGCGTACTTACCCCTATCGTGACAAAGATGCGTTGCGCGGATGCTTGACAAGGCGTCCAGATGAGGCGCGTCCATGAGCACAGGATAGTGAAGCAGGAACTTTAGATAGGAATGGTTACGCTCGTTCGATACAACCGGGCCGTAGATGCAACATAGACAATGCAAAAAAGAATTCGCGTTTCGCGCTTGAAAGGAGCGAATTGGCTGTATGCCTAAAAGGAAATGAATTGGCTGTTGAACTGGTCGGATCTGGGACCATGCCGAACATTTTCCAATAGGTTTCATGGGGTTTCTTCTCCAGCTAATCTAGCTCAAATTTGGGGTGCCTTTCAAATGACCCCACTGACCACACCCACTAACACGGCCAGCATACAAAATCGCAGTGTGTGTCCAGCTGTACGCGCAACTCGTACGGCGTTCTAAAATTGTAAGCGAAAATATACGCTGCCAGGCAGCGTACAGAGTCGCTAGTGTTAGCTTGCACTTCACTCACTGTACATTGTTGCTGACTTGTCTACCGGGATGCTCATGGACACACATTTCTAAAGCAGTTTGTGAGTTTTCTGTGAGATTATACAAATCAAATGATGAATGGCCACTAGTCTGGCACCGGGTAGTGCGGTATTGTCCTCTCTTTCTTGCGTCTCCCCGAGGCGAAAGTGCATGCGATGCTCAGCGCGATACTCCGAGGATTCCAAGCACCGCAGTGGGGTCTCCACTCTCAGGGTAACCATGCTCCCCGGAGCCGGTGGCGTACCCCAGACGTAAGGCTGCCGCTCGATGGTTCTGGTGATAAAGGCTCGCGCCCTAGACACAGGCGTTCTTGGCAGAGGCATCTTAGAGTTACCAGAGCTTCACAGCAACCAATATCCGCGTTTTGTGCGTTGCGACGTGAGGTTTGGATAATATGCTGACGGGCAGGCCGACAAGCGTAAATCCAGTGACGACACGCCACACACACGCGCTGCTCTGTTATCGATTAGTTGATCCTGGTCACGGCACCAGTGTAACGCTTGCCCCTGTGGCGTGGTGGTAGATCAGGCCGTGATCGTCCCACAGGAGCGACACGTCGGGTCGTGCACCTCGACTGCCAGGCGCGTTCCGTTATGACCAACCAACAATAAACAGAGCAGCAACACGGATATAAGCGGTACTTGGATATATACAATAGCCTTTTTACTTGACGCCAGCAATCACAATACAACAGTCATCATACATGATAGTTCAATGGTTTTACTCTATACGAAGCTCGTGGTGCCGGTGGTCGTGAGCGTCTTGCCTCTTCCTCCCTTTCTGGCTGACTATCGCTGACTCTGGCGTGAGTGCAGCGGCAGGTGACTCTGACAGTGACTCTGTCGCTGAGTCGAGTGCTTGACAACTGTCATATGCCACCTTATATACTGGTTAGCCGTGGTATATCACGTGGTATAGAGGGCACACAAAACGTGCACGTGCTCACGACGATGGAAGCTCAAGGATGACTTGGTAAATCAAGGAGGATTCGATGAAGCTGAAGCTGCATCTCAACGTCAGCAATGATGCCTACTGACGTGCCGAGATTGCGTCAAGCTTTACGCGCACACAGTAGTATAACGTATATGTATAATTACATCCCCCAAAATATATCAAGAAGCCAAAATCGTTACAGTAGACACTGTTAACAGAAATAACCGTGTCAGGGTCGTAGCTAGGGGAAGGTGGTAAATGCATATGCAATTAGTATTCCGGTTTTCGCCTAGCCCCGGATTGCTGACGATTTTGATCTTGCCCGCAGGGTGTAACTACGTGGTTGTCTGCGGTCGTTATTCGAAATCGGTAATTGATCAAAAAAGGGTACCGCAAGCACGTATTATTGGATATGTGAATCTATTACACCAAAGGCGCAGCATTCGTTTGCTCTGCTCGTCCTATAGGGGGCATACAACAGTAACCTTCCGCAAATTGTTTACCAATGTTGCACTATTTTGTCTCTGGAAAAGGCCTTTTTTTGATTTTTTTGAGGATAAAAATCGGCAGTAGAATGCACTAATTTGCATTATGCACGCAAGATAGATGACTCAGGAATGTGTTAGCAGCGGAATTAAGACCCAGCAATGTCAAGATCACGCTGCGCAGACGTGGCAACGGTGCGATTGCCCCGTTTACATTTGGTGTCACATTTCAGAGACAGAATACTTGACATGACACTTGTCCCAACCTAGAAGTGAACGCTACTTAAACTATAACGTGGGCATCTCGCTCGAGGTTCCCTATCGCGCTCTCCTCCCTAAATAGCTCTCGCCATATTGCTTTCTCTCTCGCTCTCTTTCTTCCTCTCCTTTTTTTCTTCCTTGCTACTTGAGCTTTTCCAACAATGAGGTACTTATATCTCTGGCATGCTATGTATGTGGGCTCTGCACAATCTTACCGCGGCTATTAAATATAGATTCCATCGCGTATTTATCCTCCGCACGAAGTGTAGCGGAGGGTATTGTTTTTGGCTCGTTTGTATGTGTGCATAGAATTCATCGCGTATTTGTTGGTAAGCGCACATTCCACATCTGTCGTTGACACACCTGCGCTGACATTGAAAGCACAATCATGACGTTAGTTTATTAATTTGACAGCCATCGTTTCTTAGATTCTAAATACTTTCAGACGGTTATGTTTCGAATGGAACGATATTTGTCTACGCGACCAAGGGCCGTAATAGCACCCTGTATCCGCGTGGTACCGAATGCAACGTGTGCACAAAAATATAAGATGCGAAAATCTGCATCATATTTATTCTTTTATTCTTCGTTCAACTCACAAACATACATTTATTATTTGCGCGATGAGGAATCCCCTATGTAACGCCACGAGCACAATATATAAAGTGCACTAACGCTCGCAAAATTCAACATACAACACAAAACACAAACCGGAATCTTGCTCTTTTACTCGCTGGCTGCAGTATCATGCCACAGGCAGAACGAAGAACTACAGTTCTAGA